TGAGGATGATACCTTGGTTGACGAGGAACCTGAACAGGCCAAGAGGCGTCGTTGCACTAGCAAGCAGCCGCCTGAACACCAAGCATCTGCACCAACAGGACGCGAGGCAGCCACTGCACGAAGCAGCCAGGTTAAAGCACAAACTCGGGATGCCAAACGCAAAGCTGAAGGAGGTGAGGGGGAACATGGAGGGAAAGAGAAAACAGATGCTAGCAAACGTAGCAAACCAGCTGTCAAGACCAACGTTAGCAAAAACAACACAGAAGCAAAGGGGGGGTAAGCCTGGAGGTGAAGACAAGAGGAAGAAAATGGACAACAGCAAACCGGACAAGGCAAATGGATGGAAACCATCTATTGGATCAGCTTCCACCGCACAGTGGAGCTGGTGGAGCGGGCAGTGGTGGTTTGATACCGGGAATGGCTGGGAAACATGGGAGGAGGTTGAGGCTAAGACTGCTGGGAAGTCAGCTGCCAAGCCTAAGGGGCAGAATCCGAACCATGCACCAATCACACGTGCTTCCTCAGCTGAGTTGGCAACTGCTGCTTTGAACCGTGCAGCCACAGCAGATGGAGACCCAGCAGCGGCAGCAAAAGCTGCAGGGGACAAGGAGTCAGGTGAGGAAAAACCCCTCACACACCAGGAAGTGCTCGCGAAAAAAGGCTCACTATGATAAATTTTTGAGGTCCACCAAGAGTATCTTATCTGCTAAATGGTGTCATGCACATAGAGAAATTGTATGTGTGCATGTATATATTAGATTATGCATATATGCTCAAAAACCATGTACTGTATAAATCAGGTAAGGCCACACCGAAAGAGATCAGAAAGATTGCTCTTCAAGCCCGTGCCAGCCGCAACCTAAGATCCCGCGCACACAGTAATATATATATATATGTTCCACATGCTGGCTATCTAAGGGAAGGATGGTGAAATCATGGCGGACCTGCTGGAGGAATTGGAAGAAAACACGTGTGTACTCAAGGTTAATCCACAGAGGAAAATCACGGAGGTCATTGAAACGCACTTGGAAAACTCGGGCGCAACTCCTGGCTTTGCCTGAGTTTCTAAGCTCATCTAAACTCTTTTGCACTGACTGTGTTCCAGGGAGTTGACTCAAGCACAACATGTATGATACACTAGCTCACTAGCTGTACTAAAGCAAAACCCCCTGCACTTGTGCTTAGGTTCCAGCATGATCCATCACTGGTGGATGAACTCATCCGTATGAAGGTTGATGCTGGTTTGTGGTGCTATCATGAGGATTTCCCAGAAGGACACCCAAAGGCTGATGCACATTGTCGGCAATTCCTGTGTTGTTTGGAATTTGGATCTGATCTCTAAATTGGATTCATCCTGATTGTGTGATCCGAAGGCTGCGAGATCTGTCACCTTAAGCAATTAAGGTCATGATCCAATATCGGGTCTTTGAATCCGAAGATGAGTTCGAGGAATCGGAGGATGAGCAAGCGGATGAAATCGCGAATGAAGAGTTCAGTGATTCGGACTCGCTGGGTGATGATGGTGATGTTGATCCTGGTGCGAGCGGGCATCCTGATCGCATGTGTACATTTTTTCGAATCAAACATGAAATGAACCAATTAATGCAACATGCCTCACAAGAATGTGGTTGCAGTTGAACTTGAACCTTTAAAATTATTCTTATTCCCTCAGGCCTTCGACACCTCATCCAAAAGCTAGACCCAAGCCTAAGCGCAAGAACTCGCGCAAGAATCAGCAAGACAAGCCGCCGCAGCCAAAGAACCCAAAGAAGCAAGGTGTGGACACAAGGAAGAGGAAGGCACCACAAAGCAGTCACGAAAGCACACATGCGGCTATTCTAGCTGGGGTGTAGTTACAAGCCAGCCAGAAACTTCTCTGATACAGTGTCGTCATCATCCGCGCCTCGTTGACTGCGCAGGCTCTGCAAACCATTGGAGGTTTGTTGGCTGAATCTTCGACCTTGGTGAAGAAGCTTGAGGGTTGCAGTGCGTGCCTCGACTACATCTAGTAAGCCAACCCCCAGAGATCTTAAAGCTGCACCCATGAAAGGAGTTTTCGCCATGAAGAGTTTAGATCAGGTAGGTGCAAGATCTGGTACTCCGTGTGTCTTGTTCTTTTAGAGGGTTGGGATTGAGTGCACCATTGGATGCCTCCAGGAACAACTTGGTGCGTGCGCTGGCGAAAGACGTCACCGAGCCCATTGCCAACCTAAAGAGGTTGCGTGATAGCTTGGAAAGTACTACAACTGATGCTGAGGTGCCTACTAGGATTGAACAGACCAAATCAATTTGTTTTGGAATTCCTGAGCAGCTACGCAGGCTGAATCTGTCTTGGAGACCGGCAAGAAGGACATCACTGACTTCCAGGAAAGGCTCAAAGAAGTGAGGAAACACGCTCTCTAGTTGCACCAAGCTGCTGGAACATCAAACCACACTGTCGGCACTGGATCCTGGTGTTTGGCGCAGCCCTTGACAAAGTCAACCACAATCCAAATCAACCTGTGGTTCTAGCAATACAGAGCTAGATTTATATAAATCGCATGATTATCGAAGACGCATACACGCATGATCATATCACCTGCCCCCGTATCAGCATCCCAGGCTCCCAAGAAGAAGAAGGAGGAGAAGAACACCAGTAAGGGCAAGTGAGTTGTAGCTGTGCGGTCACTTTTCATTTCATGGGGTGATACCATCACCTTAGTGTGGTCGATGGGATTTGGGTATTGGCGGTGTGTTCTATAGACACACCATCATTTAGCTACTAGATCGGAGATGGACTTTTGCGGTGGGAACCTGCACAAATGTCATGACTTCAAACTTTGCAGTAATCATGAGTGTTCTACCAATGTGCATGCTGTGTGTGCGGGAGCCGCAAGCACTTCCGTAGTGTGCGGATTGAGTGGGACGTCTGGGAAAGAAAGGGGTGTATTCATGTGTAGAGTTCTGTGTGGCTATGAGGTCTTGAGTCCACTTTGCCACTTGTCAATTTGCACACCTCAGGTGCTGACGATAGTGGATCCGGAGACGAGTTCTACAACCACCTTGAATCCAGAATTGGACAGGGTGCTTGGAACTAAGATTCCTTGAAGCGCAAAATTTCCTAGCTGTCTTTGTGTTCGATGCTCTAAACTTTGAGGCCAGTGTGGCTGATGCAGTTGAAACAGCAAAAGCTGCCTACAAGGAGCCTGCATTTAATCAACTCATGAACTTGATATCGTTCAAACATCTTGATTAGACACATTGTGTTCATTTGTGCTCCAATTTTGGAGCCTTCTTCACGCAGGAGGCATCGAAGAGAAGTTCGTCAGGACTCAGCGGCAGGACAAATCGATTGAGTGGCTTCTCCAGGGCCAACAATTGGTCCCGAAATTTCTGGCGGAAATTGGACCTACCATGTGCAGCTTGCATGTGACATGTGATAATATTATATCCCATGAAATATTGTTTTCTTTAATTGTCTGGAGTCTGGATCCTTGAGCTGTTTTGCGGTTCCTTCACTCAGGATTTCATTGAGATTGAAACCTTCTTAGACCTCAGTGAAGAAGGTCATGGTGTCAAGGAGGTCTGTGTGCCAGTGGTGAACATCCTGTCCATGGTTTCCTATCTATTCAATACCCATGGTTTACACATCCCAGAGCAGAAGGTTCAGGAATTCTGGCAACACGCCATTGATGTTTTACCATTTGGGCGAGACCACCCAGCTGCAGCATCCAAGAAGGCGATTCCAATTGGAATCCACGGGGACGAATGTCGGTACACAAATGCTTCTGGCAACTTTGAAAAATTGGTGGGGGTCAGCGTTAGCTTCCCCTTGTGGACTCCAAAGAGTAGCAGGAATAGCAGGTTCCCCTTCTGGGTGCTACGAGAATCTCTATCGACTGGAAGGAAAACATTGGATCCTATTTTCCGGTACTTTGCATGGGCAGTCAACTGTTTGTATAGCGGCCGAATTCCAGAAACAGATTATCAAGGCAGACCACTCCCAGGCAATCTTCAAAATTCCAGTACTGGGTTTATTTGCAATGGTCAACATGTCTTCGCCCTCACAGAGCTACGTGGAGACTGGGCTTGGCACATTGAGGCACTCTGTTTGAAGAACCGGTGGAATTCGACCTCCCCATGCTTTCGCTGCCATGTAAAAGCAAATCGGACTGAAGGTGCAACCCTTGCTGAGGGGTACCTTGACTATAGCAGCAATCCAGGATGGGTCAGGCAACAAGTCTCGCATGTGGGGTTCTTGAACACTATGCTGAAGCGTGGTCCAATCTGCGCCTCAGCAAAAAACTATGACCCCCCTGGCCCCTAGCTAGGTGTTTTTTTGGTGGGTGAAGTCTCTATCATCATGTTTATGTGCGTGAGGCCCATTATTCACATGTATTGGATGGCGCCACTCCATGATCAAGTTTTGCATGGCCCATAATTTGCACTTGGGTGTGTTGCAACGAACGAATGGTGCTGCAATGCTCCTTGCCAAAGAACTTGAGCTTGACCAGCTAGGCGTTGTCAAACTTGAAGATGTTGGCATCTCCTGCGTGATTTTGCTGGGGAAGAATCCAGTATGAACTGAGGGTGGTTCTCTTCGAAGCCAACTTCTGGTGTGACAGCACATCTTTTAAGGATGCCCTGAACAGCGCCTATCTTCACTTCAAGGCATGGAAGAGACAACATCGTATCAGCTGCTCCCAACCGAAGTCTACTCCAAATCTTGTAGCTTGACCCACAACTGCAAATTATATTGGGATCCGGGATCTGTGTTTAGAACATGTTCTTTTTTTATTGTGGCCAAGGTACTGTACAAAGGGGCAGAGCCGTGCAAAGCGTACAATGGGCGGGTGATAGGGGCATGGCTGGCATCGTGCGCTGTTCAGCTAGCTGAGAATCACCCAGACCATGAAGAGTACCAACTTATGGCAGCATGCTTGTCCACAACTTAACATGAAACAAACAAGCCCAATCCAACATGTTAAAACTGTTTGCAAACCCAGTCAACCTAGGGTGAACGGGAATGACTTCATCCTTGCAATGGAGGAGGGCTGGTCGCTACTTGCACCTTCTCATGAATAGAGTAGAGGGTGTTGGATGAAACACACCGTATCTGAATCTAATGGTTTTCCCCCATATGCACACTCATCAGGTCGGAGACTGAAGCCAAAGACATCAAACAGAAGGGCTTGACTTTCCTGTCTTTCTTCAAATGCCTCGCACGGCATTCCATAAGGCCTGCTGCCATCCATGCCCCCCGCTCCCAAGCTTGGTGTCCTCCAGGAATGGGAAGTTGAATTGGACTCAAATTCCCAAATGTCATGTGGCACAGCTGCAAACTAAATCCAGCACACGCAAGATGTAATATGTCTGGTTGAAGGGTGGTGTTGGAAGGTCATGACAGGTCTCTTTCCATGCTCCAGGCAATACATCACCAGATCCTAGACATGGAGTCTGGCAGCAACTTGGTGCATGTATACACAGCGCTAGTAATTTCAATGTGCGCATATTGACGCGTTGGAGAAAAGACCCTTGAGCCTGGAGGACTGAACGCTCGGTTCGAGCACTGCATGATCGATGAGGATACCATGAAGTATCTCAAAGGACAAAGTGCTAGCTTTAAAACATGTGCTAGTGTGGATCATGTACAATCTGGAAGGATTGGCTGCCAGTTCTCATCGGCGCACATTGGCGAAGTCCATTCTTCGAAGATCGCTACTTCGTCTCAAGCAAGCCCGGAAGAATGTCAGGACATTCGATACACTGTGCCTTAAACTTTTGATGTGAACACCCTCCTCACCAGGACGTGGGAGATGAGACGAGAGATCTCTTTAGGTGAAGTGGCAAAAAGCCAGACTGAAAAACTTTGAGCGTACGTATGAAAAAGAACGTCGAGCTTGTGTGGGAGAGGCGCATGTGTATAACAGCGTCGAAGGAGGGTCAGGGGTAGGTTGTAGGTTGGAGGCCATCGCTAGTAGGTTGGAGACCATCGCTAGTAGGTTGGAGGCCATCGCTATAGTAGGTTGGAGGCCATCGCTAGTAGGTTGGAGGCCATCGCTAGTAGGTTGGAGGCCATCGCTAGTAGGTTGGAGGCCATCGCTAGTAGGTTGGAGACCATCGCTAGTAGGTTGGAGACCATCGCTAGTAGGTTGGAGACCATCGCTAGTAGGTTGGAGGCCATCGCTATAGTAGGTTGGAGGCCATCACTATAGTAGGTTGGAGGCCATCGCTATAGTAGGTTGGAGGCCATCGCTAGTAGGTTGGAGGCCATCGCTAGTAGGTTGGAGACCATCGCTAGTAGGTTGGAGGCCACCGCTAGGTTGGAGACCATCGCTATAGGTTGGAGGCCATCGCTAGTAGGTTGGAGGCCATTGCTAGTAGGCTGGAGGCCATCACTAGTATAGGTTGGAGGCCATCGCTAGTAGGTTCGAGGCCGTCGCTAGTAGGTTGGAGGCCATCGCTAGTAGGTCAACCTTCTTCATTCTGCGCTCCCCCTGTGCGGTCTTAGGTCGCAGCTCCGAGCCAGACTTCCCCGACTGGTCGTGGCTCCCTCTTCCAGCCGCTCAGGGACCACCTTTGCACGATAGATCTGAGGTGAGGATTGTCACTAGGTGGTGCTCTTTCGCCAGAAATGGTCTTCCATCGGATCCATCGGTCGCAGGGGGGGTTCCACCAAACCGGGGAGAAGAACGGGAGTGACTGGCGCGCCCCAGGCGCCTGGGGTCTTTGTTGACGTTCACCCAAACACCACCTCATTGAAGGGGAAGAAGAAGGTGCATCCATCGGATGGCTTTCTTTGCAGAATTCTTTGAGGACGTCACCACCCCAACCCATTTGCTGAAGCAAGATCAAGTCTCCAAGAGTCCCACCCCAACCCATCCTCACCAAAAGCGGACTGATGGTTTCTTTCTTTCACCAGGTCGCTCAACACCTCAAGTCCTTCAAATCCTCATCTTGCATAACTCTCCGGGCTCGACCGAGTCAGCCTGAATTGCGTAACAGTTTCGGCGCACGTCACTAGGCGTATTGCCAGCTTGGCGTGCAGCCTGTCGCCTGCGGATGGTGATGCGAGACCCACCCACTTTCTGGGAAATGCCCGCAACAGATAGAAGCATCTGAAATGACTATGGCATGCCTTTCTTGTGGGGGTCCAGCTTGCCTCAGACAAAAGCATCTCAAAGATCTCATTAGATTGCTTGTGATCGCTTGTACTGCGTAACTGTTCTCGTGTGTTCTCCATTGTGAAAGATTCAACCCTTCCAAGCTGATGGAACTCAAATCTTGCATCCCGGTTCGCTGAAGGGGCGAGAGGGAACTGCTGGTCACTGAATGAGAAGCTTTGAGCAAGGGTCGCGGAGGGATCTCAACAGATCCACTTGTGCAGCAAGTGCGACCCAATCTCACACCTTCCCAGGGAGACCTGCCGCATGTGAAGAATTGACTGATGTGCTTGGAAACTACTTGCGCAGGTCCCACGCTGTTTCCAAACACAAATAGTTTCTGTCAACTAAGGCTTTTTCAGAATTTCAATGGTGCTGTGGTTGTTATGGAGCTATTTCCTTGCTGAAATCAATTGAGTGTATTGTACCGGCCAAGACTTCAGTGGGTGGTTGAACAGATAAGGACTAGCTCTTCTCAACTCCTATACTTTGTGGTGTTTGCGGCATGTCGTCGTGCCCTTGGGCACATGTATGCACAGCTGGTTCTCCTGGGAAGAAGGAGGACCTTCCACTGCCAAGTCCAAAGCCTTGCGAGTTGAAGGTTCTCATGATAGAATGCTGCACAGGCTCTGGCTCGCATGGATCCATCTCGAAGCTCTTTGGGAGAGCGCGCCGATTCTAATTTTGGATCCTTTTGGATTCAACATGCAACCAGTTTGGGGGTTCAGTTTCGGTCGTTCTCAGGAGGCTTCTTTGGGCGTTCTGAGTGTTCAGGAGGCTTCTTTTGGGTCCCCCCGCGTCACTGATGGATGGTCCGTTGATCATACCAGTGCCTTTTTTCGTTGATGGAAGTGTTCAAGGTGGTAGCACGCTCCGCTCTGCCATGCCATGTTGTCGGGTTTCACTCGGGTCTGCAGATCCTCAGCTGGAATGAAGTTGGAAGTCGGAAGTTCCTCCCAAGTCCGTATGCCCTCATAGGACCCATGTTGGGACATTTTGGGAATGGTTTTGCTCCTCTGGATCAACGTCGCAGAGTCTTGCAGCACGTAGCGTTGGCCTCGAAAAGGAGGCGCGCACAGGCGCGCACAGCCGCTCACGTCAGAGAGTGCAAAGCAGCTTTCTGCAGACCTTGTAAAGGAGATTTGCATGGTCTCAAAAGCGCTGTTCTTCTTGGGACGATGGTGAAAGGGATGGATGGGCTCGACTCTACACCCGTGTTGTGTGCCGATGTCGTTGTGTGGTTGGTGAGAACAGATGGAGCACAGGCGAAAAGGCTGAGCATGGAACTGGTCCAGCGGGACCCGACACCCGACTTGACCTGTGGCCACTGGACTTGACCTCTGGATCGAGGTCCGAATATCGGATCTCCTGACCGAAACCGAAATCCAAACAAAGATGGTTCTCTTGATCCCTTCAACAACTCCTTTCACTTCCACCTTTGTCCGATTCTTTTTCACCTCTACCGACCTCGACTCCTTCACGGCCAGGGCGACCCGGAGGCGCTCGCGAGGCGCTCGCCGGGCTCGGCTCAGACGGCCGCTCCGCGGCGAAGCGGATCCGGAGCGAGATCGTGTGGGAGGAAAAGGCGAAGAGGGGACATCCCCTGAGGTTTTCCCGGTTTGTGTGAGGGTTTTCCCGGTTGGCGGGACCTCAAGACGCCAACCCACCTGCAAATGGATATCGGATAGCCTTCACACATCAGACGAGGCTCAACACATCAGACTGAGCCATTTTTCCATGGCTTGGCCAATCTTTCACCAGGTGGTACCATATAGAAGGTGATCAAGGATTTCT